ATAGCAGGGTCGTTAACTTACGTAACCGCTACGCCGACATCACTCCAGCATACTTGTATAGTATGTAAAGATAAACACGGTAATTTATATAACTGTGCGACTTTTCGTAAATATTCACCAAGCGAACGTTATAAGTTAGTAAAAACAAACAACCTATGTTTGAACTGCTTAAGCGATAAGCATTTAGTTGCAAAATGCAATTCGAGTTCCGTATGTAGCAAGTGCGCCAGGAAACATCACACGCTATTACATTTTGAAAATAGCAACATAGCGGCGTCAAGTAAGGCGAATAAGGAATTCACCCCTACTAAGGTCAACGATTCTAGCGGTCGACCTGGTGATGTCGCTCTGTGCTCATTGGCAAATATGGGAGCACAACCTCCTTCAACCGTGTTACTGGGTACGGCGCGTATTTTGGTTAGGGATTCGCGTGGAAACAAACAAAGCGTCCGTGCACTGCTGGACAGCGGAGCCCAAAATAGCTTTATAACACGACAATGTTGTCAGCGCTTAGGCTTAGTAATAAATAGGTCACTTTCATGTCCTGTAGTTAAAGGCATCGGAGGTACTAGTAAAGCGACACAGGGATATATAAATTTAAAATTTTATTCTCGGATAGATCGTAACGTTAACTTTGATATAAATGCACTAGTAGTAGATAGGGTCACTGAACGGTTGCCAACCGTTTCGGTTGACACCTCGGCAATGATTGAATTTAAAAATTTGACTCTAGCAGACGACACTTACGCCGTTCCTGGAAACATAGACATGCTCATTGGGGCATCGCTTTTCCCTCATCTTTTGTTAAACAATAAGGTCAGGGGCAACTCCTCGCATACCGCGCCTTACGCACTGGAAACCGTATTGGGCTATGTGATCCTTGGCTCCGCCCCCCATCCTAGATAGTATTTCGGCAGCCTCTTATTGTGGTATGGCTGTCGAACCGCTCGAGTCGTTAGTCCGCAAATTTTGGGAGATGGAGGAGGTGAACGTCCCACCCATAGCTAGTTCAGATGACTAGATGATATGCGAGGAAATTTACGTCCGCACGACCGTTCGTGATCGCGACGGTAGATATAGTGTAGCGCTACCCTTTAAGGGAGATGTTTTATCTCTCGGCGATTCGCGTCAAATGGCGGAAAAACGTTTCTACAGCTTGGAGCGTAGGATGCTCGCTTCGCCCCAGTTAAAGGAAGCTTACGACGGCGTCATTAACGAATATATAAGAGAAGGTTACATATCACTTGTGGCTTCGAAATTAGATAACTACGAAGACACACCGTCGTATTTTATACCACACCACGGAGTCATTAGAGAGGACAAACTTACATCTAAATTACGTGTAGTGCTCGACGCTAGTGCTAAAACTAGCACTCACCTGTCGCTTAACGATATCCTCTATAGTGGGCAAAATTTACAGGGCAGTTTATTTGATATAATAGTCAATTTTCGTTTGTTTAGTATAGCACTATCCGCCGATATTCGCCAAATGTTTCTTTGCATAGGGGTCCGTGAATGCGACCGTAGATTCCAGCGCATTTTATATCGTTTCCACCCAAAGGAACCTCTAATGGTGTTAGAATTTAACCGCGTTTGTTTTGGTTTAAAGTCGAGCCCATTTCATGCGTTACGCACGGTGAGACAGCTCGCTCACGATGAAGGTCCCTCTTATCCTAAAGCTAAGAGGGCAATTGAGAGCGGATTATATATGGATGATTTTGTGTATTCGGTCGATAGCGTGGAGGAGGCCACCCTAACCACCGCCGAGGTTATAAGGCTCATGAAATCGGGTCAATTCGATCTTGTGAAGTGGACTAGTAATTCGCGTCCGGTTTTAGATACAATCCCACTATCACACCGTCTTTCGGCGATAAAGGAATTCGACGATTCCGATACACACAAGGTGCTCGGTCTGTGTTGGTCACCAGAGTCCGACGTGTTTAGCCTTAAGGTAAATCCGCCCGTAGAGAAATGCACAAAGCGCACAATACTGTCATGCGTTGCTAGATTATGGGACGTCATGGGTTTCGTAGCTCCGGTGGTATTATACGCTAAGCTTTTGATTAAACAACTTTGGTTATTTGAATGCGATTGGGATGACTCGCCGCCTGACAGCATTGTTCGATTGTGGCAGCGCTTTAGAGAGGAACTTCCTTTACTAAGAGAAATTAAAATACCGCGTCATATAAATGTCGATAGAAATAGCAGCATAACGGTTGTTGGATTTGCAGACGCCAGCGAGAAGGCCTACGGGGGCGTTGTATATTTCCATGTCCAGAATAATGGTAGAAATTCGATTAGCCTCATTAGTTCTAAGTCGAGAGTCTCCCCCCGTAAGGTTGTCTCTCTGGCGCGCTTAGAGCTTTGCGCAATATTAGTACTCACCAAGCTTATTACCACAGTTATCGGCGCATGTAGGGATAGAGTTCACATAGAAAGAACATTTGCCTTTTCCGACTCCACCGTCGCCTTATGTTGGGTTCATTCTTCACCCCACCGTTGGGATACGTTTGTCGCGAACCGAGTGGCCAAGATCCAAGACGAGTTAGAAACGCGGAACTTTTATCACGTGTCCGGTAAGGAAAACCCTGCCGATTGTCTATCCCGGGGACTCACCCCGATGCAAATAATGGACCACCCGCTTTGGTTCCATGGACCTTCTTGGGTTTACTTGGATCCCTCACAATGGCCAATAACCGATTTCGAACCTTCGTCAGTGTCACAACCGCCGGAAGAGAAGAGACACGCTCTAGTGGCGAACGTTTCGAGCGAGGTTTCTCCAATCATTGCTCTGGCGAACCGCTTGTCCTCTTGGTCGAAATTATTGCGTAGCGTAATTTACGTTTGTCGATTCGCGAAGCTTTTACCGCGACGTCCGTATGTCTTAGCATCCGATTACAACTATGCCGAGTCGCTAGTATTACGTGAACTTCAACGTGCGCACTTCTCTGAAGAAATTACAAGATTACAATCGAATAGAGCTTGTAGTCGCGCCTTTCAACGCCTTAAGCCATTTTTACAGGATGGGATTGTAAGGGTAGGTGGACGCTTGTCCAACTCGCAATTGAGTTTCGACCAACGGCACCCTATAGTTTTACCGCGTAAAGACCATATCATGAACTTATTAGTCGATTATCATCATAAATTGAACTCGCACGCTGGCCCCGATTTATTGATGTCGATCTTGCGTCAGAATTATTGGATTCTTTCTGCACGTAGTTTAATACGCAATCGGGTGCACAGATGTATAGCTTGCTTTCGGGCACGCCCCAAGCCGTCATTTCCGGAAATGGCGGAACTTAGATCTTGTAGAGTGATACAATCGGTAAAGCCCTTCACGCACACCGGGTCTGATTTTGCTGGTCCGTTTAAGGTCACGCTCACTCGCGGGCGTGGTATAAGATCCACAAAGGCTTACGTCTGCATTTTCGTATGTCTAACTACTCGAGCAGTGCATATAGAACTCGTTGGTGATCTAAGCACAGCAGGCTTTATGGGTGCATTTAAAAGATTTCTATCGCGCAGAGGCCCTGTAAGTAAATTATATTCGGATAACGGTACGAACTACGTCGGTGCAAAACGTATTCTATCGGAACTATACGAGCTCTTAGCTAGCAAGTATTATAATTTGGAGTTCGCTCACATTCTAGCCGAGAACCGCATTGAGTGGTCTCTGAACGTCCCAGCCGCGAGTCATTTTGGGGGCAATTGGGAGACTAATATTAAAAGTCTAAAGAGCCACTTATACCGAGTAATAGGAGATCAAATTTTGTCCTTCGAAGAGCTAAGTACGGTGCTCGCTCAAATTGAATGCGTAATGAATAGCCGCCCACTTTGTCGGACGTTATCTAGTGACCCCTCGGAACCGCTGGCTCTAACTCCAGCACATTTTTTGACTTTAACGCCTCTAAGGTATCTGCCCGCCGCGGATATGGATGAGAACAGACTTAGCATTTCCACACGCCACAAATTATTAGATCGGTTAGTGCAATCGTTTTGGAAACGATGGAGGATGGAATACTTGCATACTTTGCAGTCTCGGCAAAAATGGAACACAGCGACAGAGCCTTTAGCTGTAGGAACCGTAGTTGTGCTCACTAAGGAGAATACGCCGCCTCTCCATTGGCCGTTAGGAATCGTCGAGGAGGTCTTTCCCGGTTCCGACGGAGTAATTAGGATAGCTCGCGTTAAGACCACGGTTGGGTCTTACCTACGTCCTGTTATCCGTTTGTGCCCCTTGCCTCTTCCATAATTTAAATTAGCTTTCTAGATTGAAATTGTAGTTTAATTTAGGTAATCTTAGCGTTAGTTAGTTATTTGTTAGTCGATCTTAGCTCTAGTTGTTTAGTTATTTTTTTTGAAGGAAATCCTTCAAGGGCGGGGGGAGATGGTTGCGCGGAAAACCATTCGCGTTTTTTATTTGACGGTAGGAACTTGTAGAATCATTATTCCTTTCCAAACAATATCATTCGTACCCTCCTATCGACACATCGGGGTGGTGGGGTGGGAGGGGAAAGAAGACGATTCTAGAACATCGCGTAATCACCCGAGCCGAGGATATATAAGACACGCGCGACCGATGCGCGAGCCTCTTCTCCCGCCGCAGTCGTCGTTGAACCAACGCTTCTCTCCTGACGCACCACTGGGGCCCCAGAAGTGTCTGTCCAGAGGAGGTTCCGGAAGTCGCCGCTATAGTGATCGACAGGAAGAAGAAACCCCGGTGAGTCAATATTCCTTAATTATACCTGCTTGCTAATAGTTTAACCCGCTCCAATCTGTGTTTTTTTTCCTAATCAAGCAGGATTCCTTTCATCGATTCGACAAGTAATAGTTTAGTTTAGGGAAGAGCGAGTGCATTGTACCGCATGCTATAGTAGTCTCTTTTACGTAAGCGTAGAAGCAATCGCATATACAGTCCACTTTAGTTAATATCTCGCGTAATAGGTTTGAGGTTTGACCGGGGAACTAGACTTTCGGCAGCCTTAAACACGTGGCTCCACCAACGCATGCAATTGTTTTTCTGTTCTGATTCCCGTTTCAGAAAGAGCATTATATTTATTTGTCAACGCCATCCAAGCTTGCTTCTTGGCCTCAACAGTAGTCCCGTCCGTCTTTTTGTTGTCAATTGTAGCCACAAATTCTTTGGCTACTTCAATTAGAAGCATCTTCTCTCTTTCCGTAAAATTTCTACTACGTTTGCCAGACTCCATAATGTTTATTTTAAAAGATAAAACCACTAAACTTAAAATCGGAAAGAGAAAAAGCAAACCACGCGCAAAATAAAAGCAATGAGTATGATGTTTTCTTTTTAAACAATTTGACAGTACAATGATGTCGTCCATAGAGTCTCTGGTAAATATTGAATTATCTTAATTTATTGCTAAAACAGTGCATATTCACGTATTAGCCTCAAAAAATAATATTTTACGAATAATACTAGTATAAATGAAGAATTGAAATAAAAAGAAACAATTTTAGACTCGATGTCTTCGATGAGTCGAAAAAGACCCATGTAGTGGCAAGTTATGGAACTTGTTATTGGTTTCATAGTTGTTGAACGGTTGGTTTGGTATTCAGAAACGCAATGACAGTTAACCGACTGATATCTTATAGATAACTTTATTGAATCAATAGCTAATAGGAATATAACTGGGAACTTCAGAAACCGACCATTAGTGAAGCTTTAATTTAAATTTATTAGTAATAATAATAAAATGTATTATGATTTCTTAAATCACATCTGGCTATCTATTGTGGAAGGAAGAGTTCTACAAGCAAGTAGATGGTGTGGCGATGGGCTCACCTGTATCTCCCATAGTCGCTGACATATTCATGGAGGACTTCGAGGAGAAAGCCCTTCTTACTGCTCCTGTAAATCCAAGATTCTACAAGCGGTACGTAGACGACACTTTCACAATTTTACCATCTGACAAAGTAACTGCATCTTTAAACCACTTTAACTCTATAAACTCTAAAATACAATTCACAATGGAGTTAGAGGCAAATAATTCTTTAGCTTTCTTAGATGTTTTAGTCATTCGAAATCCTAATAACACAATTGGTCACACTGTGTATAGAAAAAAGACCCATACCAACCGTTATTTAAATGGTGAATCTCACCATCATCCTTCACAGTTAGCTACCGTGGGTAAATCTTTGTTTCAGAGAGCACGAGGGATCTGTGACAGAAAACAGCTGGCCGCCGAACTTCAGCACGTCAAGCAAGTATTGCAAGACAACAAGTTTCGGGTCCCGCACCTACGTCACAGTGACCAAGTGAAGCCGGCCACAGTCGAGCGTGTACCTGCTGTACTACCATATGTCAGAGGAGTCACAGACAAGGTTGGCTACATCTTGAAGCGAGCTTCCATTAAAACATACTACAAGCCGCCGAAGAAGATTAGTCAATTTTTACCATTCGTCAAGTGTAATATCCCTCTACAAGATGCAGGAGTGTACAAGTTAGATGTGAATGTGGTCTCTCTTACATAGGTCAAACAAAAAGATCCATAAAAACCCGCGTGAAAGAACATATTTTTTTTTACGTGGTAGAGCCATGCTGCAGTTATATTAGTAGTATAGTTGTAGCACGAATGGGTCGGCTCGACCGGGGAAGGACCACGCTCTCACAGAATACCAGCGTGAAATAGTAGCTTAATGCTGCTGTATTTCGTATGGTGAGTGTAGAGAACCGGAGACCCTTTTTACTGGAAACGAGGCATTCCATCTCAGTCCTCACGAGTGACAACGCATCTGCATTTTGATTTTTAATGGAGGATAGATGTAGATGTCTATGGGCCGCAGCAACCACTTACCATCAGGTGGACTGTGTGCTCGTTTGTCACCCTATTCTATAAAAAAAAAAAAAAAAAAAAAAACATATAGCTGACGTGAAGCACCGACGCTCCGGGAAGTCTGCAGTCTGCGAACATGTTCAAGATCGTACCCACCATAACATTCGATTTGATAAACCACAAATTCTCGCAAAAGAACACCGATTCCTACCAAGGATAATACGCGAGGCTATTGAAATTAAAAAACATCCAAATTTCAATAGAGAAGATGGATGGGTGTTGCCACCTGCTTGGGTTCCTATAATTAACAAAATTAAACCCAAACCTAAGCATACCACTGCAAGACTTCATGATACTATAAGCTCGTTTTGCGTAAATCGGACCTAAAATTAATATTCAAAAACTGAAGGTAGCCGGACTAATTATGACATTGGGACGTCAAATATCTCAGTCCCCCCCGTGACCATGGTTGCTGTAAAGCACCCGAAACGTCGGGAATTAAAAATAAGTAAAAGTTGTGAAATAAACGCGATAAAATCCGTAAATTTAGTTTTATTCAATAAAATGTATTTTTTAAAACTTCAGAACGTAGTAACGTAACTTAGTTTGTGATAAAATACGTAAATACGATCATGTATCCATATATCGTTCTAAGCTTAAATGGCTCCCTATCCATCAGCGAAGATGTATCAAAATTCTTCGCACGCTTTTTTCAATCCTATATGATCCATGCACTCCCCAATACCTGAAATGCAAGTTTCAGTATTTGGGTTCTTCTCACGATCGTAACCTGCGATCCTCCGAGGGAACTACATTATGTGTTTTTCCTCGCCGTACCAAATTTATGTCTCAGTCTTTCGCCGCTGAGGCCATAAGGCTATGGAATAAATTACCCCCTCATATCAGAAAACCGACTTCTGTTGCTACATTTAAGAGGATGGTGACTGATCACTACCTTTCTTCTTCCAGCAAGTAACTTTCATATTTAATTATTTCTGCTTATATGTGACTTGACATTTTAAATTATTTAATTTGTTTTAGTTATGTTCGTATTTAAGTATACTTAAAATGATGTATTATGTACTATTTAAACATTATGTATGAAACGTGTCATATATTACTTAGGTTAATTGTATTTGTGTATATTTATTTTTGTATTTACACTTATGGTATGTCTATTTATATATTTACATTTACGTATAAATTATCCACATATTTTATGGCACCTGCCAAAGTTCTCTGCTTAGCTCATGGTTGACTGGTAGAGAATGCCTAAAGCCATTAAGTCCGCCAATTGTACATTTTAAGTGCAATAGTTTTTTTTTAAAAAATAAATAAATAAAAAGATATACTTAACACCTTCACCGCCAAGCCCAATCTCTTAAAATTTCATTTTTTAATCAATGTTGCATTATCTATATTTTTTACTGTTATATTTATCCAGCTGTCACCCCTTACATTTTCAGGATTTCAGGAATGTGTATCAAAAATGATACACTGGCCTATGAAAGACATTTCTCTGTTAACCAATCTCATGGGCCATGTGTACCATTTTGGATACACGGTATGTTTTAGTTTATTTGATTATTTTATATTTGTTTCAGATCAAACACGAAGAAATCACAAAGAAGAAGCTTTGGAAAAACAACGACTGTTGTGTTTTTCTATAACTCCTTTTTTTGTTTTGTTATAGAATATACTATAAAACGTAAATAACGTGAGTGAGAAAAGTGAATCAAAATGGACTACGAAAGTGACGACTCATTGTATGATCCGGATTATTATCCAAGTGACGGTAATGCGACGGCTAGTTCGGAGAGTGACAGTGCTAATGAAAATTGGAATCCACCTTTATTTTTTAGGCGAGCATCGACCTTCACTGAGAGTGACCTGCCCCCTTTACCTGAAGTTCAGAGGAGGATTTCTGCAAGAAGAATGGGTAATACAGACTTGGACGCTTATAATATGCCAAGTAAATCATCTGCTACAATTAGTATATTAAGTACATCTGCAACTACTCTTACTACTGGTAATAATGAGCCAAGTCTCTCTGGTACAACATCCGAGTGTCTAAAACAAAATCTCGACTCAATAGAGTGGCACATGCCCACTCAAGAAGGTTCAACGCCGATGGAATATACCGGGCCTATTTCAGGCTTCAAAGAAATATACTCAGGCATTCTTGCTAATGCTTCGCCAATAGACTATTTCGATTTGTTCATAATTAACGACATTATTCAGCATATTGTAGACCAAACGAATTTATACGCCACGCAGCAACTACTGTCAAATGATATTCCTTCAGGTTCTAGGCAACATGCCTGGGTTCCTGTTACCTTGGATGAAAAAATAATAAATGAAAAAATTTCTCGCACTCATTGGTTGGATGGGATTGGTGAAGCTGCCATCGATAAGACTACTGGCGCGTTCATAAGCTCTACAATATTCCATTAGCACGAACTGTAATGCCTAGGAACAGATTCGAGTTGATTCTCAAATTTATTCACTTCTCAGATAATACGTTAGCTGACCCAAATGACCGGCTTTACAAGTTGAGAGATATAATTGACAAGTTTATAAATAACTACAAGAAAACATACACACCGGGAGAAAAAATATGTGCCGACGAATCGCTGATACCTTGGCGCGGACGACTTTTGTTTAGGCAATATATACCCAATAAGAGTGCAAAATACGGTATCAAAGTATTCAAGATATGTACCAAAAAGGATATACTTGGAACTTGTCTGTTTACTGTGGCAAATCTAGAGACCCGCAAACTGAAGTCTCAGAAAAAAAACAGTTAAGTCTTTGGCAGAAGAACTCTTAGATGAAGGAAGAACATTGTACACAGATAATTATTATACCAGTATTCCTCTCGCCTTACGTTTGCGTAATAGAAAAACCCATCTAGTAGGAACTCTAAGGGTTAATAGAAAATATTTACCAAAGGAAGTGGTACAGGCCAAATTGAAGAGAGGAGAAATGGCAAAGCAGAGCAATGAAGGCATGGTTGTTCTGAACTGGCGTGATAAACGCGACGTACGGATGCTTACCACGAAAACGTCTGCTCTTGAAATGGTGCCAAATAATAGCAGAAATACGAAAGCAATGCACACTAAACCCAAATGTATAGCTGACTACAATAAAGGTAAATCTTCTATAGATATTAGCGACCAAATGGCCACGTATGGTACAGCCTTACGACGCTGCACCAAATGGTCCCGCATATTAGCATTTGAAATAATTTGGGGAACAAGTGTAGTAAATGCCCATTTCCTGTACAACGAATATTCACTTCAAAAGAAACTCACATTCACGGAATTTCGTGAAAAAGTGATTGATGCGTTGCTGGAGAGAATTTCTTCAACGAATGTTGACAGACCTTCACGATCGAGACCAGACGCCAACATTATTTGGTCCAAAACATTGTAAACGATAAGAAAGTTCGAGGTCGTTGTTTGGAGTGCTATAAAATTTATGGGAGGACAGGAATACAAATTGCAGGAAAAAATAAAAAAGCACCCCAAATATACACAAAATGTTCCGTGTATAATTTTTTTTATGTCGTCGATGTTTCAACAAAACTCATTAGCAATTAATCTTATTTTGTGTCTTTCTTTGTAGTTGTTTTCTTAATATAATTATGTAGAAACTAATTCATTCATTCACTTTTTTTTCACCTTCAATTTTCCAGTACCAATATTTTTTGGCATATTTCTCATAACCCAATCCCAAATATAGCAAACCAATCGTCCAGGCCAGAGGATATTATTTATAGTACAAAATCTATGAAAAGCGTGTTCATTATTGGTACACAAGGCTTTGAACGCAATAGGTCGTATGTATCATTTTTGATACACTATGTTTTAACAAGCGTGAGCAAAAATGATACACTGGCGTTGAGGGTATTAAATGTTTAAAAGTTTTGGGTAGGGGAGTGACTTCACGGACATTGATATTTGCCGGTTATATTAATTTATTGTTTATTTCAGGTGCTGCAGATACTTACAAATCAAAATGGTTTACTTACGACGAGTTTGCTTTCATGGCCGATAAGAATGACTCCGGGACAACAAGGGATACACTCCAACAGGTGAGTTATTTTTTACTTAACCTGTAATTTTATTTTTATTAAAAAAAAATTACAGGTAACCATTAAAGTATAATTAAATTATTAGAATATTATAATTCTTAAAGTAAAGGTAAATGTTATAGCATTATAGCAATAAAGTATATTTGTATTTATGTAATAAAATTTATTTCTTATTATAATCTAGAACTTAGGGAAAGGATAGTTTTAAATAAAATACATACTTAATCGGTTAAAGTATAATGAACTGAACTACATTATATTCCTCTTAATGCAGCTAACTTATAAAACATATAAACACAGTACAATTTATATAAGTTTATTAGTACTCATTTTGACAAACAGTGGCCCCGTTCCTTATAAAGTGTCTTGCTAAGTGGGACCGAATATCTTTGGCATTTTGTGATGCTCTTCATGGTATGGCATCTATCGGTAGCAGTGATGTTGGTGCCTGTTCCGTTCGCCAGCTTCCAGGAACTATTTTTCCATTCCCTTGTATTGTATCAAAAGATACCGGTGATCTTAAATTAGAATTACTTCGTAAATAGTTATATATAAAGGTAAACTGTTTTCTGGCTCCAACAGCATTGGTTTATGCAAAACTCTGTAACTTGAGCTTAGTACTCCAAACGCGTTTTCTACAACTCTAAGTGCTCTTAATAATCTGTAATTGAATATTCGTTCACTCGAACCTCTTTCTGGATCACCTTCATACGGTTTCAATGTATACTCATTTAATTGGAAAGCTTTATCACCAAGTATAAAATAATGTGTTAGTCCCTAATTTAATGTATGGTAGTGAAAGCTGGGTGTGGCAGAAGAAGCACGAAAGTAGAATAAATGCTGTAGAAATGCGGTCTTTAATTTTCGATTTCGATTCAACCCTAGCATATTCCGCTAGGGTTGAATCTGAATGACAGGGTGAGAAATTGCGTGATAAGAGATAAATGTGGTATGCAAGATGATGTTGTGACCAGGATTAAGAAAGGAATGCTTCGGTGGTTTGGTCATGTAGAAAGAATGAATGAGGAAAGAATGACAAAGCAAATTTATATGGCAGATGTGAACGGCCGAGTCGGGAAGGGACGCCCTAGAAAAAAGTTTATCGAACAAATTGGCGATATTTTGAAAATGGGCCACGTTAGAAGTACCCTTAACCGACGAGCATGTATGCGTAGATATATGGATGTAAAGGAGGCGAAAGAGGTATGTCAGGATCGTGCCAAATGGAAGTCCGTAGTCTCTGCCTACCCCTCTGGGTGACAGGCGTGAGTGTTTATGTATGTATATAAAATAGGGCACTTCAATTTTATAAGGAACTTGCAAAATGTTTGTCGATGGGATGTTTAGCTCCTTTTTTTCAAGTTTCTCATATAGCTTTGTGCTTTTAAACACGCCTTTATCTGATATTCTGCCCTTACTCCCAACATTCACATAAAGGAACCTATAATTTGAATCTACTAATGCAAAAAGAACTATACTTGGAAACAATTTATAGTTATCATAGTCGTTGCCACTATTAAAAGGCGCTTGCAAAACGACATGTTTACCATCCATTGCTCCTAATACATGTGGAAAATTCCACTTTTCGTCGAATTCCTGAGACACTCCGAGCCACTCTTCTTCATTTGATGGCATATGAAAAAAGTGTAACTATGATTAACCTTTAAGTTCTGACGTGGTTTAGCCAGGTCATAGATGGTGACGTAACGTATCTCAGACGTCTACAGAAATAATTAATAAATAGTATGATTATGTGTAACCACATTATTTGTTTAATATATGTTCCATCTATTATTTATTTATTAAGATTGTATGAGAAAACAACAAAATATTCATATAAAATCAAGATTTATTCCGTACAAATTAGGTAACATATATTTGGCATTCGTGCAGACACATTCGTTATAATTTGGGCATACTTAACTATATAAATATTTTTGACAAATTTGTTCTACTAAAATAACAATCATTATTATAACATTAATTAATTAATTAAAAATCACCCCATCAATCGTAAACATTTTAGAATAAATCATTTATTTTCTACGCATTCGATGCATATACTGTTTTCGAACATCCGAGACAGATAGGCTTGCGACCTTCAACGCAACTGTATTTCGTACGTCTTTTGAGTCTCGATGGGTAGATTTTGCACGTTTTTCTCACTACTTCTGTATCTTCGGGGTCAGCTCTTTCAGGTTCTGGGAGCATATCCCTACCCAGTACGCGTGCTATTGTCGATATCAGCTCTCTTGGTAATCGATCATTATATACTCGTCGTTTCAAGTGTGGTAAAACCAAACTCTGAGCAAGATTCTGGAGAAACTGAGCTCTAGGAATATCAGGAACAGTGGTGCAGGTCTTATATAAATCATAGGCGTTGACCCTACTCAAATCCAAGACTAAAAAAATTGCGAGAGGCCAACGTCGGGTTCTACGGCTGCAAGAATAAATTGAACATTTTTTGTCGATTTCATCAACACCGCCTTTTGTTTTATTATAGTCAATTATTGTTACAGATTTCTTTGTCAGTGGATCCAATTCGTTTGTGTGGTACATTGAAGAGATCAACAAAACTGCTTTTGACTTTTTAGGGACGTAAGAGACAATAGTGAAGTCTTTTGTGAAGCCGTGGAGCGATGATTCAGGTTGTCGTGATTTAGAGGCTTGAAATTCAGGTGGGATGTGTCTTTTATTTTTTTTCAACGTTTCAAGATAAGTCAGACCTCTCTCTCTCAACTGCTCCATCAATTCTATTGAGCTAAACCAATTGTCGGCAGTAATATTTCGATTGGTTTTTTCAAAATCCTTTCACAATCGTAATATAGACTGAGTTGGTATGGCAAACTTTCTCTCGGTTTCTGAGAATCCCAGTCCATCCAAATCTTTTCCATGATAAATGTATGCATTATATACGTAAAAGGTTTCTGCATCACACACAAGCACAATTTTCAGGCCATATTTGGCCGGCTTCTTTGGCATATATATTATAAATTTGCATCTGCCTCTAAATGAAACTAGCATTTCATCAACACATAGATACGCTCCGGGAGTATATGCTTTTTTGCAATTAGCAATGAACAGTCCGAAAATTTCTGAAATTGCAGCCAATGAGTCTGTTTCAAGGCGTTGTGGTCTACTGTTAATGTCATCAAAATGAATATAATTTAGGAGAGTGAGAAATCGGAATCGAGACATCACGCAGCGAAAAATTTCACGCCCAGAGCCATCAGTAGCAAATAACAATTTGGTGTTCTCGTGATTGGACTTGAAGACTGATGTATAAAATAATAAGCCCAAGAAAGCTTTCATTTCTTCGCGATCGGTAGATCTCAGTTCAATTTTATTAGGGTTTTTGTACTTAATACAAACCTCTGATAATTTTTAATTTGTATAAGTAACAACGGTATCAACCATTTTTGTGTCAAATAGCTCAGAAACTCCTAACTATTTGGAGATTCTGATTCAGTGAAAGTTTTAGGCTGAGGTCGAGGCATATCGACAATGTTGTGACTTGCTGTACGACTTGGTCTGTTTACAGGTTCCTCAGCTGACCACTTGAAACCATTTTTTCCGTAAAAATACTTTTGGTTCTCAGATAAAACTAAAGGAGGACTTACAGTTTGAGATATTGAAGTTTGGTCGAAATCAAAAAGAGAACCTGTGGTTGGTCTGTTTTGTTGCTGACTCACATTTTCCTTATCTTGTTCATCTTCAGACTGCTCTGATTCCGTTTCGTGATCGCTTTGCAAGAAAAAGACTGGGTCTGCCTGTTCATCGTCAACGTCACTAAACTCACCCTCTAATTCTGTCTCTAACCAAGTTTCTAGGGTATTTTCGAAGTTTTCACTGTTACAAGCCACCACCCGTCTTCTTTTGCGCCTATTTTTAGATGTACACTCGGTTGATCCATCTAAAAGAATAAAATCAATAACGAGGTGACGTCTCGTAGACACTTAGAAAAATATACACTAATAATGACCTGACGTTTCACAGATTCCGAACATTAATACTGACCTTATGCCTCAGAGACACTGCCAAGCTCTATAGCCGAACGTGTTGCTGCGCCGCTTCCGAGCGCTCGACTGACCAATCAACGCGTAAAATCCCGAAACACAAATTTGTTTGCCCGCCGTCTGTGAGACACCCACGTCATTACTTAAAGGTTAATATGTTTTGTTATTGTTGTTGTTACAGGAAGAAAGTAATAGCACCACTGGTAGCGGAGAACATGCTATCAATGAAAATGCTCTAGAAAACGTAGACAATCACACAACTGAGAATGTTAATAATCAAATGCAAGATATGAATGATCAGTGTATACGAACTGAACCTTCTGTACCATCTGAACAACCTGCTGCCCAATCTAATGTGCAAAACACCCAACACAATGTTCAAACCCAAAAAAGGAATCAAAATAAAAGAAGAAAAAAAAACATCTTCACATGGTTCCGAAGATATTATGATAACAGATGAATCCATTTCGGAAGCATTTCAACTACTTCATCAATGTGCTCAACCACAACAACCAGAGACAGATTCATACACCGCTTTTGGACAATACATAGCTACCGAACTACGAAAATATGATCATATAACGTTAACTTATGTAAAACACGCCATATCTCAAATTATTTTTGAAGCTGACACAGGCAGATACAGACCAGAAAATTATGGATATTGCTCTCCAACTTCATCATATACAGAACGACCTTCAGAATCAACAACAACTCAGCTTCCATCAACTTCATTGCATACAGAACGACTTTCAGAATCAACAATGACTCCGCTTCCATCTGACCACAATCACCACCAATTGAATAAACATATGTAACTTTTATATATTCATAAGTATATATAAATAAAGAGTTTAATCTTTTAAATATACAATATGTAACAAAAACCCCGTGGTTCCCGTTATGTGCGTTATCAGAATCAGTATTCAAACGTATAGAAATAATTTTACTTCAGAAAACTCGACATAAAAATAATCAAATTAAATTTTAATTAAATAATATTTGGGTCATATAGGATCAAAGGTGGCAATCTGTCATTTTTGTCACTTTTCATTTTTTAATCGGGCAACATGCAGAACTGAAAACCATACAGAATATTTAGACATCTTCGGATCAAATATGGCTATATTCGTTGCAAATTCAGTGACAAATCTGTCTTTGGCTTCAAAGACGGCATTTATCACCTAACGAGAAACAAAGGCGGTATTCTGTGCACTTGACCAATCACAGGCATGCATTTGGACGCTTTACAAGATGGCGATTAACTCGTTTTGATAGCAATATTGACGTAAATGTTTTGTGCATTATTCGAGTTTTAGCTTGCAAAGTTATTTCACTGCGCTTTTAATAATGTTATAGTAATCCAACAATTGTGACTAATCGTTTACTTCGACTAATTCATTTTTCTAAAACGTCAGAAACACTCCGGAAATTGGAAATGAAACGTTGCAAACAGGTAAAGTAAACTGTAGGGTTGAAACAACTCGACAACTATGTTTTTTAATACAATTTTTTTAATACTACTTTTGCGTGAACTGATGGCATGCCACGACGATGATTGACAAATACATATATTTATTTAATCCGTTAATTATTTTATCAATATTTATTTAACATTTATTTTATTTGTATAATATTATAAATATTTATATAGTATTATAAATATTTATATAATTTTGTAAATATTTATTTAATATTATCAATATTTATTAAACAATTTAATTAATTAATGGAAGTTGAGTTGGCTGGTGATTTACAATACTACTACTAACTAATACAGAGTAAGTTACCACTAACAATAGGTAAAGAGTATGTTCTTTTTTCCTCAGGTACGCATCTAAATCACTTCCGAGTCGAGTTTGTGATGGCGATGCCTGATTTGTTATTACTACACACAAAGTTTTATACCAACAACACAAAAAAAGATCAGGATACACTGTTGTTGAAATATTGTTCCATCAAGCCTGTTCAACAAAGGAAAAACACAAAATCGATGAAGCAGACTACTATGAAATATGTTGTTAATGTCAAAAAACAGAAAGTGCCTATTTGTCAAAAGCTTTTTTGAATATTTTTGGTATAACAAAGCATAGAATATCTTACGTTATGAAAAGATTTTACTACACAGGTGATATTTTTGAAAATCGCGGGGGGATCGGAAACGAGTCAAATTTTCCGAACAGAAACAGTCCATTCATCAGTTTATTGAAGGCCTCAAATGCATGGAAACAAATTACTGTCGCAAAGGGAAGAATGCTGAGAGAAAATACTTACCTGCTGAATTAAATATTAAAAAACTGTACGACATGTACAAATCATGGGAACTAGCAAGTCCCAAAGTAAAGCACTCTTACTTCAGACACATTTTCAACAACACTTATAACATCGGATTCGGTTCACCGAGGACCGATGTTTGTTCAAAGTGTCTAGAACTGGCGGAAAAAATAAAGAGTTTTACTGATCCCCAAGAAAAAAATATACTTATGACAGAAAAAACAGTCCTCAACACCTGGCTTAAAGATAATATCCTTCGACTGTCAGAAAAACTTACCGCTGCCAAAATTGCCCGACCAAATATGTTACTATAGTCGCCAACTATATTTCTACAACTTAACTATGAGGGTAGTAAAAAATCAACCAATGATCAGAGACCAAGTTTTTGCGTACTGCTGTACTGAGGATGAATTCCATAAAGATTCTAACTTAATTGCATCTGCCGTTTGTTTGCCGATGGTTGCGGTGGTCAAAATAAAAATAGCATAGTAATTGGAGCCTCTTGCAAATGGTTATTGAAAAATCTTAATATTAAAACCATTGAAGTTGTTTTTCCAGTAACTGGGCATTCTTATTTGCCCCCTGACCGACAATTCGGTATCATAGAAAAAAAAATGGAGGTCATATTGCACCCCGATGAAATAAAAGATGTAATATCCCAAACGTCAACCATAGTCAGATTTGGTGTTGATTATGTTGTTAGCGACTGGAGATCAACAACCAGAAGCATTATGGCTCAAACGACATCGTGGAAAGTAAAGTTCAAGGAATGCAAAAGATTTATTTTGGTCCGTTCTAAAAAAGCTGGCAACGTTCTTGTTAGAGGCGAATTATTTTACAAAAGCGACATTGGTACAGCGTTTAATGTTTGTCAACGGCAGAAAACCATTTCAATGATTGACGCAAAATTCTTACCCAAAATTGTAGCCGTAAATAAAAATAAATTGAGAGATGTCAAAAAACTTCTCACAAATCATTTCGGAGTTAATTGGGAAAATTTACCTGTTTTAAAAATATATAAAGATTTGTTTGCTTCCCAAGAGGCACTTCAGTGCACTTTGAATCCCGAAGCAGAAGATTATAGTCAGGAGCCTTTGGATGAAGTAGATGACCTTCGTGTTTAGATGACAAAATATTATCTAACCTTTAATAGTTACCTACAGTAATAAAGTCATCTTCAATATCAGTGTTTTTGCATCCGATAAAGAAATTGACTATCCTTACTTACGTAATCTTGATTGATCTTAATAAACTTTGTAAAAACAGTAACAAATGTTATGATTTTGCATAATCGACAACCCTATTCTAATGTTACATGAATTGGCAACAAAGGTGGCAATCTTCAGCCAAAACGACACTTCAAATTTAAAAATTGCATTAGATTTCTACCTTTTATATGAAAATGTTATATAAAACACATAGGCTAGGTCTAAAAATTATGTTAACAATACAAAAATCACTTAAATATCCCAACCCGCAGCAAATAGTGTTTTTTTTTTCATTTTACCACAAATTGACTAAAAGTCAGATTGCCACCTTTGATCCTATATGACTCATTCGTAAATTTTATGTGGATTGATTACCTCTGCCTGGAATTATCGACAGTGGCGGGTGGCGGCCGGTGGTGACGTACCTACATCACAGACGGGGCGCGCGCGCGCGTCTTACCTACACTAACTGCACACTGAGGTCGTGCCTTCGTCACATCACAGCTGTTATAGTCAAACACAAATTTATCACTATGTCTACTTGACCACCACGGAGATGTTGTTCAAAATGTCCACCTTGTACCTCTATACACTTGTGACACCGACTTATAATGTCTGAACGCACGCGTTGCATAACAGACATTTCGGACTTTATTTTTTCAAAGGCTGCGACTATACGCATACGCATTTCTGCCTCGGTATCGCATGTTTTTGGAATACAGTCTGCTTAATCGTACCCCAGAGATAAAAATCTAAAGATGTGAGATCAGGTGATCGTGCCGGCCAGTTGACCGGTCCACCGCGGCCAATCCATCTTTTACCGAATTCAGTATCCAAAAAACTTCTTACACAACGGGAGAAATGCGGTGGAGCACCATCGTGTTGAAACCACATGCGACGAACGAGGTCTAAATTTATTTCGTCAAGTTCATTGCTTAGTTCTTCTCGCAAAAAACGTCCGTAGTTTTCACCGCTCATTGTGTGGTCAAAAAAATACGGACCAATAATTTTGTCACCTACAATTCCCGCCCACACCTTGATTTTCCATCGGTGTTGAAAGTGGCTTGGTTTATACGAATGCGGATTTGTCGTTGACCATACGTGTTCATTATGAGCGTTAAATACACCTGTTCTTACAAAAGAGCATTCATCCGTAAAAAGTACGCGGTTCAAAACTCAGGATCTCCTTCAACCTTATCAAGTAATCCATTCTCGGCTCGTAGTCGTTGGGAAGAAGACACTGAACTCGACGATAATGATACGGGTGCTGGCCATCATCTTTGAGCGCTCTCCAAACGCGCATATGGTTCACACCTAGTTCACGTGCAACCGAGCGCGTGCTCCGCGTCGCATCTTCCTCAAACATGTCGAGAATGTGCTCCTCGATGTTGTCGTCGTACATCCTCGGTCTTCCTGAATCTGTACGTTGTTGATCACGGCCATGCACACTGCCAGTATTGTACATACGAATGTGAAGTCGTTGGAACGTCATCGCCGACGGCAATTGTATATTTCGTGGAGTAGCAAAGCACTCCCCGTAAAGTCTTCATGCTGCTGCATAATTACAGTTACATTTCCCGAGACACATCAACACATTAAAATATACCTCGTTTGAGTAAGACATCGCACACGAGTCAGTCACGGCGGAATATTAATTTCGCAATATAAAACACAACCGTCAATATCAATGCTAACGCGCTACTGGTGCTTGATGCTTGTTTGTTTACATAGACGTGGCAAAGCTATTGTACTCTATAACATAATTTTGATATTTTCTAAATCGATAAAATATTTCGTGATTTTTTTATGTTATTTTTATACGTAAATAATAGTTATTTATTTATGTACTTCAGACAGCGTCCGTAAGTGTAATTAAGAAATTAAGTTATAGCTAGGATTAGTAAAAATACATTAAAACACTTTTATAACAAGAAACATGTGTTATAAATCCACACAATAACAAATACTTAAACTATTATGCTGATGTGTTTTTCAAAATCTAATAATTAGCATTTTTTTATCGACCGACGATAAAAAATACTTTACTTTATTTTTTATTATTTCCTTATATTTCTATTCTTGAACACTGAATTGTGACAAAATTTTATGTTTATAAAACTTCCCATGTTTTTAAATATTACTACCAAATATGAACAGCACAGAATAAATAATAGATACGACGACCACGAAGATATTGTTCAATATGTCCACCTGTCACACATTTGCGACACCGGCACCGGCTTATATGTTTTATCGACCGACGATAAACAACCCTTATTTTTATTTTTGATCACTGAATTGTGACAAAATTTTATGTTCATAAAACTTCCCATGTTTTTAAATATTACTACCGAATATTAGCACAGAATAAATAAGAGATATTGGATCAAAATTAGTTAATCGGCATAAAGTGGACGCTACTTTTAATCACTCGAAGAGTAGAGTTTTTTTGGGTTTTTTCTAGTACCTAAGTCCTTCGTCGGCTTTCGCTTTTGAGTTCAAAGAGCCCGCAAAACGCCGCGTATATTACCTATTAATTTTGTTTTGTTTATTATATGCAATAAGCGACAACATGAATTTATTTAAAAAAAATAATTACTACCTACTACATATTATTTATCGAATAATATTTCATATGAAAAATACATACTAAATTTCTCCTACAAATAGTTGCAAATTTGGAATTAATCACGATATTTTATGCATGAAATAACCTTTTTAAATATTTTCGTAGATCTATTTAGCAATAAAGTGGAAATTTATAACATAAGTATTCAAATACTATGTGTATTCTGGTTGAAATAATATCCATTTCATTATAATTTCTATTATTTTGAAATTAAATTTTTCGGAGAATAACTGAGTCTAGATAGGTATAAAGATTAAACATTGGGGACGCACGCGCCGCTTAGCGGCTGTTTTTGAGTCGGCCATGTCAGTGACCTCATAGCGGCCGTAGACTATTATTTATTCTGTGACGTAGATAATATTATGTCGGCACGTGTCGTGTCCTTCACTGCTGGCCGTATGAGGACGCTCAAGGTCGCTCAGCGAGCTATGGAGAGGGCTATGCTCGGAGTTTCTCTGCGTGATAGACTCAGAAATGAGGATATCCGCAGTAAAACCAGTGTGACCGACATAGCCCAACGGATTAGTGAGCTGAAGTGGCAATGGGCCGGCCATATAGCTCGAAGAACCGATAACCGATGGGGAAGAAAGTTTCTTGAGTGGCAGCCTCGTACCGGTAGGCGTAGTGTAGGGCGACACCCCACTAGATGGACTGACGACCTGGTAAGATATGCAGGAAGTCGATGGATGCAGGTGGCTCAGGACCGTGCTTTGTGGCATTGCTTGGGGGAGGCCTATGTTCAGCAGTGGACTTGTGAAGGGCTGTAATGATGATGATGATGACGTGTCGGTAAGGTCAGAAGCAAATAATATTTTTAGAAATTTAATATTTCTTAAGTTATCTTATTAGAAACCCAAAAACCCCATTTAAAGCAAGCAAAAAATTTTTTCATTATCATAATTGCCATGCCTATGTGTACACCTATACGTCCCTGAAACGACCAACAGGGTTTTTGTTACATACTGTATAATTTCACTTACTTTTACATAATCCTTCAAAACGTCGATGATTGTTTCACAAACCTCAGGAACAATTTTCGATATTGACTGTTTGGACACTCTGAAAAGATACTGTAGACTGACGTAAGAATCTCCACTTGCTAAAAATCTCAATGTTATTAGTAGTCTTTCCTTAACAGTTATGGCATCACGATAGTTCGTATCATTCTTTCTTATTTTGTTCTCCAATAGTGAACACAATAAGTCAAATTATTTGCAGTCATTCATGCAAAATTAGCTTCAGCTCCATCATCAATTAACTCTTTTTTAACATCTTTGTAAAGTCGAGTCCCATATTCCAACCGGTTTTTAAAATTTGTTTTAACCCAATACTGTCTTTTTCGTTTTCGTAATTTTTGACGTAAATATACAAGTAAAATGTAGCTTGCTGCTGCTACGGCTATTCGTCGCCGTCGTTGCACGTGTGACTCCTTAGCCAGACAAAATTCAACTGATTCAGTATGGATCGGCATGAGCGCGTTGGAGCAGCCAGTCAGGATCGCAAAAGATTGCTGTTGGATCGACCTAGAACGATCCACGCTCCACGCTCCACGCATCACGATCTTGGATCGCGGATCGCGGGATCGCCGATCCATTTTGGATTGTCCGGTGTGGATCCGGCTATTGAACTACATAGAACTAGAACAAATGACAAACAAAATTGTTAAAACTCCATTATTATTAACTACATTAGTATGTTATTATAGACTAATATTAGATTTAAGCCCCTGACGAAAAATAGGGGCGTTATATGTTAAACATGAGTATTTGTGTATCTGTCTGTGGCATAGCAGGTAGTTTTAATTTTTTTTTCATTTGAAAGTGACTCAAGAGTGTTCTTAGTTATGATTCAAGCAAATCTTTTCAGCCATTTGAAGAATATCAGCTCTCTTTGTTTCGGTTTTTTTAATTTTTAATTTAATCTTATATGCTACTGGTTGGTTAATCACACAGAACGTATACAGGAGCGTTTGTAGTTTAAAAGAAAATCAAAATTTATAAGACAAAGTATGTCAGGATGACCATAGAGTGAAAATTAGCAGAATTCTAAAGCACACACACTAGATATTATTGTAATATTAAAGATGTACATAATTTTGTAGGTCAATTTATAGAGGAACTTTACAGGGTATCGCTGTGCTATTGTGTTAAATACTCTAGTCGAATAACTTAGTCTCACACCTTAACCCATTCGAGTCTGCCATCTATTGGAACATTTTTATAAGAGTGAAAAACACAGTCCACTAATGGTAAGTGGTTGCTGTGGTGGGTGCGCAAAGACATACACATCTATCCTCAATTACGAATCAAAATGCGTGAGGACTAAGATGGAATGCATCGTTTCCAGTAAAAAGGGTCGCCGGTTCTCTACACTCACCATACGAAACACAGCAGCATTAAGCTATTTTACGCATTCTGTGAGAGCCTGGTCCTTCCCCGGTCGACCCGACCCATTCGTACTACAACTATACTACTAATGTAACTGCAGCATGGCTCTGCCACGGACAGACTGGCTGTCAACAGACAAATGATTTAATTTCAAGTCTTAATTTCAATTAAGTGATTTATAATTTATAATGATAGAAATACTATGATTTATAATGGCGCTGGCCATGGACGTCACCGCAGAGAGGGTATCCAGTTAAACTTCTGATAAAAAAATTATTATGGAAAAAATGCATGTGCAAATGCATTAAATGCGTATAGCTTTGATTTATTGCGAAACATAATTCAAAATAGAAATTGCTTTTCCATTTTTTGATTGATACGACACAATATCATATGGTATATATTTTTTAAAATATATAAATAAATATAAATAAGTAAATTTACATATCATGAAATCAATATTCGCAATGTTTTATTCTCATGTTAAAAGCCAAGGAAACCTGATTTCGTCTATCTGAAAGGTTAACCTTAAAATTTTAATTATTTCACTACAAATCAAAAATACAATATAAAATGAAAAAAGGTAAATCCGGCGCTGCTGCTTTTTATTATAATAAGATAGGATTATTATTTGATGTAGTTTTTTATCATAATATGTACGTGATTAATCTTTTTTTTTTAACTGAAAACTCCTATAATGATGGATAATATTCATCTTAATATATACATATTTGATTGTATGGTGTCAATTTAACATCTCTAGACATTTTCTATGTATGTATACAAGGATGACAGAATGTCTTCCAGCACTACTATAGAAACAGCACTGAATAAGTAGTCAGAAGTGTACATAAGTAAGACAGATTCAATTAAAAAATCTTGGTACAACTATAAATCCATTATAGCTAATTCTGGTAGACATTCAATCAGGCCTGATGTGTGAACAAGTCATCAGTCCCGGAACCCGGAGCTAGGGCACGAATCAAGCGGCTGTTAGTGTGCGCACCAAACAACACGTTGAGTAAGGCAACACCGTATCCCGTAGCTCGTTCACCCTGGAATAGAAAATTATATAAAATAAAAAAATCCGAGGTTACTTCCTTGCTCCGAAGACCTCAGGAGACGCAGGTTCAGCAGAAGAACATATGTAGCCTACTCCTTACTTAATTTTGTTGCTTTCTTCTAGGTAAAAAATTGTAGTTAAAATACAAAATATTCTTGATCTCTGTGTGTGTGTATCCCTTATCTCTGATTATATATTTTTTTAAATTTATTTATTAACATAGTAAATAGAATTGGTTCAAAAAACATTAAGTTCGCCAAACTGAGAATACAGTTTATTGGCGAAACTGCACTCATTAAGGTTTACAATTGCATTTTAATATTTCTCTAAAATAAATTATAAAACAAAACATATTAGTAAACATATAAAGTAATTAAAAACTAAAGACTAAGTAGGTAAAAAACACTTATCACTGAATTAATAACAAAGCTATAAAAGACAGAAAAAGAATATCTTAAATTAAATTAATAATGAATAAAGATTAATAAAAAATAATTAAGATTAATAATTAATAATAAACTAAATATTACTACTACTAATACTACAGGTCGTCGATGGCATTCAGTAGCCAATATTTCATGTAATATATAATATAATATAATGTTTTTAAAAATTTGTTTTGTCCGACAGGCCTCTTGTGGCACGTTTTCATTAAATATTCTTGGCACTAAATACCTAGGCGTCCTTTCACCAAAGTAGTTTTGCGCACTTGGTTCTTCAAACAATTTACGAGTATTCTTTCTTAAATTACCATAAATTGATTTCCTAACTAAAAAATTTACTTTTGTATCCTTCAATTGCTAATAAATACTTTGTTTTTTCACGTACTGGTAGAATAATGCATTTCTTAAACAATAGATTATAGTTACCCTTACTTTTCTCTTTAGCTTGCTTATTAACTAACAGTTTAACAAATCTTAGTTGAAGATTATGTATCCTATCCATATACGTTCGGAACGTACGTCCATAGGCTGAAAGGCCATAATTAATTACAGAATCCACGAGAGCATAGTACAGAATGCGTAAAGTTGTTTTATCAACTACACTTTTAAGGTGTACAAACTTACATAATAACGATCTTAATTTATTACATACTCGTTCTATATGGAAATTCCAACTAAACTTAGTATCTATGGTTAATCCTAGATATTTGTAATTATCAACAAGCTTAATCGATTTAAAATATATATGATATGATGTAGCATTACATTTTTTTTGAATATTTGTATATTTATTGTGTGAACAGTTTTATTAGGTTATTCAAGATTTTGTTTGTTATAAGTGGTACCAATGTGTATTATACTAATATCAAACGAGGTAAAGCCCTTGTGGGTCGCTACGTACGTACGATATTTTTGCGGCTCAAGATTTTAAGAATGGCTCATTCAAGGCCAGGGGGGCATCAGAGTCGACAAAACTGAGTGAATAGTGCAAACATGAACGGTGATATTTTAGAAACTATATTCGCCCCTAGCAGTCATCACTAACAGTTTATATACTTGTCCAAAAGGTAAGTATGGCCATGTAGGGAGAATACACAGCCAGCATTCCTGACAATATAGAAAAAGTAATCGTCTAGGTTAGCATAGGTGTGGATATTTACGGAGTGCGCGGGAGCGGCCATGTCTATATGCAGCCAGGCTCCTCGGAAGTCGAATCCCGAGCGCGCCAGGATGAACAGCCCAGCACACGATGGCTGAGCATGTTGCGGTCCTGAAAACAAACACCACCCCATAAAGAGCTTACAATATGCATCTGGGCACGTCTTTTTTTAATTAGAAGTTTTGGGGGCGTAGCTTATCCTTATCCTTTGTCGGAGAAGCTAACGAACGACCGAGGGAGTGTCAAAATGAAAGTGATGCAAAGACTTATTACGCAAATTATGAGATAGCATACCGAGCACATACACGTGTACACGTATACACGTTCACGAAATTTGGCGGCTGGGATTAATCCGAACAATTCCTCAGAGCACTCCCCATGGTATATGCGAACGAAAATGCAAAGAGATGCAACCTCTCCTCGCAGCGCCAGTGAATCGAGCCGAACGGAAAGCACTCTGTTGTCGACGATTCGAGTAGCTCCAGCCCATAGATGGGAACGGTATTCCATGTGCGGTCGAACCTGCGCCCTGTAAAGTTGCAGGCGGTTTGCCAACATTAAATACTGTCCCGCTCTGCTGAGCACGCCAAGCTTTTTAGAGGCCAATTTGGCCTTCTCTTCCAAGTGACCACGAAACTGCATGTCACTCGATATGTCAACGCCGAGGATTACGATACTGGCTGAGGCAACAAGGGGAGTGCCTTGAAACTGAATAAATAGGACAAAGGGGTTCTTTTTAGCGGTTAACGCGCAAACTTGTGTCTTCTGAGGGTTAAACTGGACTAGATGTAGACGCCCCCAATCCGAGACTCTGTTCAGCAAAGACTTCAGAAAAGAAAGCTGGTGATCCAATTGCACAATTTCTCGGGAAGCCCCTTGTACTCTACTGCCTTCGCCCATCTATGAGTTAGGTAGACCAGAAGATCACCAGCTGATCGACCACGGCGAAAACCGTATTGGGGACCACTAATCAGCTGGTGATCCTCAAGGTACCTCATGGGCTGGCAGTTTACAATGGACTCCATTGTTTTCGAGAACAAGGTGATGGCGATAGGCCGGTAGTTGGACGGGTCTGAACGGTCGCCTTTTTTAGGGATCGGGTGGACGAAAGCCGTCTTCCATGATTTTGGGACTACGCGTAGGGAGTAGGAGTACCGGAAAAGACGCGTTAAAACCGGTGCCAACTCTGGAGCAAACGTCCTCAGCACAATTGGGGGGATTCCGTCAGGCCCACTCGACTTGTTTGTTATATTTGATACCAAGTTATGTCGTCGTAGTCGTCGATGTCCAGGGAGAGGAGTGCTGTGCGAACCGAGCGCTGTGTGAACTGCACTTTCGGCACGGAGAACTCACACTGCGGGATGGTCGGCGGCGTACTCCCCCCGTCATCGAGAGTCGAGTTGGACACAAAGAAAGAGCCTAGCAGATCGGCTTTATCCTTTGCGGTATGGGCCAGTGAGTCGTCCTCCCTGTGCAGGGATGGAAGAGATGGCTGACAGAAATTCCCCTGGACAGCCTTGGCGAGACACCAGAATACACGGGTTCCAAAAGGAAGGCGAACTAGTTTCTCGGCAATTCTGCCTATGTGCTCTGACTTTGCCTTGGCAATGACTCTTTTGAAGAACCTGGAGGCGGAATTATACTTCTTTTTTAGAGCGCTGGTGTTTACATCCCAGGACATTGATGCGTCAGCCCCGGCTTGGTAGCACTCCTGCTTATAGCATAATGCTATTTTACAGGAGCGACCAAACCATGGCTGAGATTTGCTTCCGATGGGCACCACAGAGGGAGGAATAATACTCTGAAGTACCACATCAGCGACAGAATTAGCAGCAACGTTGGGATTGTCCGGCGAGAAGCAAACCCGCCCAAGGGTAGAAAGATCCTAATAAATACCGCATCCTGTCTCAATCGGCCTACCTATGGTGCCAAATACGACGGCAGCCTGCAGAATACAACCATGATTTCAGCGTGGCACCACACTCCGGACAAGACAATGGCCCGAGGAGCCTAAAGGGGCATCGACGGAAATCTGATATCCGTCCGGGAGAGGTCAGCAGAAGGTCCAACAGGGAAGGTGCATGATCCTCCACATCTGGAATCCGCGTAGGCGAAGTTACCAGTTGTGTCAGACCATATGTCACGGCAAAATCATGAACAGATCTACCCGCATGGTCGGTTAAACGTGAACCAAGCCATTCGGCGTGATGGGCGTTAAAATCGTCGAGGATCACGATCTCTGCGGAGGGATAATATAATACAACTCGCTTTTGTTTTTCCGCATAAAATTTTTTCGCAGTCATCGCACAGATTTATACCGGGAGCGAGGCGTGGTGTTGTGTGTGACCGCAAAGCGAGTGCGAGCGACGGATGCGCATAATTTTTAGAAAAAATGGAGAAATTATTGCACCCCGGGAGGTCGGCAGATTAACCTTTATTACCGGGGTCTCCCGGGCAATCCGGGAGGGTTGGGAACCCTATTTGCACCCATCTTTCAAACACCTGTATATAATATACATATAGTTTTCCTTATATGTCAATTTTTTTAATTATACATACATGTTGTCTCCATTAGGGACTTAGAATGTAATACATAGTACTTAAAAGTACCTCACGTAACATACATACTAAAAAGCAAATAAATAAATAAATACTTTGGGTACTTTACAGGCAACATGGGTACGTTACGCACTTGCGTAAATCGGACCAAAAATTATTATTCAAAAACTGAAGGTAGCCGGGCTAACAATGACATTGGGACGTCAAACATCTCAGTCCCCCCCCCCCGTGACCATGTGTGATGTAAAGCACCCGAAACGTCGGGAATTATAAATAAGTAAAAGTAATTAATTAAACGCGATAGAATCCGTAAATTTAATTTTATTCAATGTGTAGAGTTCACGTAAATTTAAGAAATCATTAGGCAGCATGTTGCTATTGTTTTATCACGTTTATCAGTGAGTGCATGAGTTTGCCAGGGTAATTGAAAAAGTCTCAACGTTTATTGATTATATAATGATAGGCATAACCTACCAATGTTATTGTCATTATATCAGTAGAAAATATTATTAACTTATTAACTACATATTAACTTTTTTAATAAGTTACTGCTCTTTCTAGGATTTTTATCATACATATAAAATAATAATGAAATAATTTTATCGACATTAGTCTAATAGTAGAGTTTTTTTGGATAAAATATAGCGTAGAGCACTCGTAGAGTTGCTCTCTATCTTTTCGTGAAGTTTCCTTACAATCGCCTCAGCCACTCCGAAGATTAGCTTGTACAGACACAGAGATAGACAATTTTAAAAGAAAAAATGTTTGTTTACATTTTAATTTTTTATGGCATGGAAAAACCATTGGAAATTAAATATTCAGTTATTTCAT